TTAGGGTTGGGATTTAGGGGTTAAGGATTAGTGTTAGGGTTGGGATTTAGGGGTTAAGGGGTAGTATTAGGGTTGGGATTTAGGGCTTAGGGTAATGACTGAGGAAACAACAGAGAGACAGCTGTTGGTTTGGTTTCACTCCCACACACTGTCTCTCTCTGTATCTGTCAGTCTCTCTCTGTATGTCTCTGGCAGTATCTGTCTGTCAGTGTCTCTCTGTGTCTGACTCTCTCTCTCTTGCACTGTTTCTCTCTGTCTGATTGCCTCTCTGTGTCTGTCTCTCTCTTGCACTCTCTCTGTTTGACTGTCTCTCTCTGTCTCTCTGCAGTACGCCTCAGTCAGATCAGCGGTGTTCATCTCTCTCCTGTCTCTCTTCGTCCCGTGTCCTTCTGCGTCAACAGTTGATGCGTGAACAGCTTCATGATCAGGAGAGAAGGGAGAAGCAGCATAGATGCCATGCCTCCCCATATGCCCCGCCCACTTCAACGCAAAGTTCTACCCCATACCCCACCCAGAGTCCTGCCATTGATGTCAGCACCCCTGTGGCCCCGCCCACCACTGCACTTGTGCCCCCTGAAGTGCTGAGGGTAAGACATTTGTCTCTCTCTCTCTCACACACACACACACACACACACACACACATACACACACACACACACACAGTCCCTGTCTACTGCAGTTTATTTAATCTGTTGTTTTATCTTAATTCCGAAGTTATTATTTTTGTCTGTAGTTGCTTAATATATAAATTTTAACAGTTTTGTTTTACAAAATATAAATACACGAGAGATTTAAACAATAGCAATGAGGACCAGGAGACTCATTACTGAAGATGAAACAATAAATTAATTAATGCCACTTTACAGCAGACACGGTCTGGTTCATGACCATTCTCATCAACGTGGCTTTATTTGTCCCATGAGCTTTTCAGCTCTTAGTTTTTAAAAACCAGTTCCTCTGTGCCATAGTTTAATTGGTTTTTGAGTATGGAGAAATGCTTCATAACAGTTTTAGCATGACGCACGTCAGGGTCTCCCGTCAGCCCTTTAAATCATTATTTACACTTTGTTTCATTTGTGTAGATAAAATTTTTTAGCTCTCTGATAGTGTAAAACAGCAGCCATCCACCTGGTCATGCCCCCATAATTCTGTAAAGCCATCCACCTGGCCACACCCCCATAATTCTGTAAAGCCATCCACCTGGCCACGCCCCCATAATTCTCTGCAGCCATCCACCTGGCCACACCCCCATAATTCTGTAAAGCCATTCACCTGGCCACGCCCCCATAATTCTCTGCAGCCATCCACCTGGCCACGCCCTATAATTCTGTAAAACCATA